CGTCGAATCTGAATCACTTGAAAAAAACACGGGGGTGCTTAACTTTTTTCCAGGTGTATACATACTTGTCTTTGTTTTATTTGTGATCATGTTTCTGTTGTTATTTGTTAACAAAAATCATTCTTGTGCACCTTCTATGAAATGATCTTTCTTTCTGATGTACTCAGAGACTGAAAAGATAAACAGACACACAATCCATAACTTGGTATCCTTCAAAGCTCCAGTTAATGGACCCACTGGTTACTCTGAGAGAACCACCATAATGACAACACTTAGCTTGCAAGGATAAATCTGCTTAACATAGTCAGGAATCAAAATTTAATATGCTTATTTGAATACAAGAAATATGAACATTTGATGATCCTCATGAAAGTACAAGTTGCTGTTAAGAGCTGGTGCACAACAATAAAATTTCAACAGTTAAAATATATACATATAAGTTAAAAACTACAAGAGCACAATAACTTACTTGGAAAATCAACTCGCAACTGTTGTGAATAAAATAAAATAATTTGCAAAATGAATGCAGCTTTGTATGTATGTCCAGCTAACTCCTATAGTTATGGAGTTACCAGGACCAAACTTGGCAAATGGCCCCAGGGATGCCCTGAGGGTGTCCTTATCTATATGGTGTTGCCTCCTTACTAAGGGGAGGGGGGTGGATAAATGTCCCTATAATAAGGTCACCCAATTATGATAAGCATCTAAGGGCAGATCTTTATGGTTGCTAAACCTGAATCTGGCATTGGATTTTGTATTCCTGGTCCCCTTGGGGTACCATGTTTGAAACAGTGGTCAGACCCCTAATTAAAAGCTAGCAGGTCCAAACTTGGCACACATGCTCAGGTACCATGGGTGGGTGTTCTAATAGAGTTCATTTTGGTTACAGACCTTCCTGTGAAAAGCTATAGCAGTATGTGGGTATAATGGAGGAGTTTGATCAGTATATTGGGGTATTTGTCAATCATGAGGGGTCCTTTGAACCATGAAGCAGGGCACAGGTATTTTATGCTAGTATATTCAAATCATAACATTATCAACACCATTTCAATTCTTGTAAGGTGTTGTGCCATGTTTGATACTAAATGCATATCAATGACATCAATTATATATATATATATATATATTCTTGTTTTAATTCTTATGATCATTTGGAGCACCTATAATTTCAGCAATATAAAAAAAATTCTGAATATAGATGCAATGTTTTTTTAATACTGTAATTGCTTTTCTCTCACATTTGGTCATGAATCTAGAGAATAGAAGGTGTTATCAAAATTTGTGATATTAAAATATTGACATTTTAGTGAAACTTTTAAACGCTATCAAGTACAGAAAAATGACCATCAATGAAAAACATTAAACCATAAATGAAAATCTCAATCAAAAGGATAACAACAAAAATATTTTTGGCATATAATTTTTCTTTTATTGTTTTTTTTATGATTATTTAGTCAAGTTGATGCTGTAAGTAATGTTGTAACTTTATGCAATTTATCCAAAATACTTTTCTGAAACAAATGTCAAAATAGATTTTTCAGAAATATTGAGAAAAATGTGTTTACTTCTTTATTCTTGAGCTAAAGAAATAAATTTAGCACAAATCTCATAAAATAAAATAAGTCAAGAATTGACAATTTTTCTTACAGAAAAATGCAATTGGTATACAAATTTAAGGAAATATACAAAATTTACACTCATTTATGATAAAAATTATTACATGATAGAAATTAGTTATTTAATGAAACTACAACATCTGGTATTTACTTCATTAGATTACTTTTGCTTCTTTTAATTATTATGACTTAATACAATAAAAAATATTCATAACTAACTCAAAAGTGCAATGTTCCAAAGTTGTTTTATCATACATACTACAATATCACAACACATAGGTTATTCATTCTTCTGTTAACTTTTAAGAGGCAAACTAATCCATTATTATAAATGCAAGACATACAACATAAACAGAACAGAGATCACCAAATATTTCGTATATTGACAACATACAGTACGAAAGATAAGATTATTAAATACTCCAAACAGCAATGAATAAAACAAGACAGTACCAAGTTACCCAAAATAAAAGTAACATATATCAAATAACAGAGACAGCATGAAATACTCTAAACATTGCTAATATGCAGTGTACCATATATTCAAAACACAATGATAACATGACAGGATGCTCACAGTGGACTATATATATTCCAAACAACAATGCATACACATCCACTGAACAGAGGACAAAGTGACAACTTTTAAAATGACAAAACACACAACAAACAGGATAGACAATTTCAAAGGGATGTATAATACCAAATAACCCAATTAAAATAATAATGACATAGTAAACAAGATAGTACAAAATATTTCAAAGAACAGAATAGACAACACCAATTATTCAAATTAACAATGCTAACACATAATAAACTGATTTGACAAAACCAAAAAGGCCAAACAATAATGCTAATGTACAGTTAAGTAACTAAATCAATGATACTAATACATGGTGAACCAGATAACCTACTACATATTACAAACAATAATGTAATACATAGTGTGATATGTGAGCATATCATGGGTTTACTACTTTCTAGAGTAATACAGAATAGTTTCAAGTTATTGATTATTTGGTTTCTGCACTGTTATGGTGGTAACACACAGTCCAGAGTTGGCAACATCATCCTGTTCTAGTTGCTTCACCTTTTGTTCTCTATTAGGTAATATCAATTCTGTCCATAGGGATGTTTCATTACTTACTGTACACATAACCTGACTGATTATGATGTTAACTGAAACTGACCAACATTGTCAGGGAAATACAAGTCACAAAGTGACACTGTTCACTAGAAAAAGAGAGTTTACATCTAGATTCAAACCCATTTTCTTTGATCATTTCTACTTGGTTTTCATCATGACTAGTTCAAAAGAGATTCATTTTGAGGGACAGAAAGCTAAAGAGCTTTTCACTGATCCAGAAGAGGTGATCATCCACTTGTATACAAAATATTGTTTTTATTGTCTTTTAAATGTGTCCAATATCTGTTTATCTGCAACTTAAAATTCAGTCAAGTTATAAGCTACAGAACACTCCCCTTATTTCTCAATCAAATTTGTTGTTATTGCAAGTTTACCTGTCTGATACTTGTTGGGAAATAAGTTTTATATGAAACTATGGTAAATAGATAGAAAAGAAAGCTGTGACACTAGAATTTTTTGGAGAGCATTTGAAAGAGGAGCATACCAATCCTAGCCCAGTCTCTTGTGTGCTGAGTTTAAAGGAACACTTTCATGGTGAAGATATGTGGATGTGGGTGTACTCCACCAGTCAAGAGTTCCTGGTGGACATCAGAGCAGCAAAAACTCTGACGGACCTAGCAATCTTCCAAGCCCTTCAAATTAAACCACTGCTATGGCCAGTGAATACAGATTTCATTCTGGCTAATGGGTTGCAACAAATCATATTTCATACCCTGGGTAACATGTGAAGTGGAGAGAAGGTTGAGAGTGTTAATCCCATCCAATCCTGATGGAATGCATCTATTGCCAAAGCCTGAAGATGAGTTACTGGAAACCAAATTGCCAGTAGTTGGGTGATCCAATGAGAGGCCAAGCCACCAATTAGAGTGACAAAATTAGAGCCAATACAACAGAATCTTGTGATGCAGTAGAATCTGTTTGGATGGAGACAACTAACCTGCTACCACAGGCATCTCCATGGAACATGGCAAGCTAGCATGGTGATAAGATAGGAAAGGTTTCAAGAAGGGAGGCCCAAAATTCGAAAACAATTCTTGATGAGAAACACAAGACACCACCATGAAATTATCAGAATGAAGCCCGATGATTTACCTCTTAATAAGCGCAGACCATGAAGCATTGCTTGTTGTAGAGCCAAAAAGATCAGAAAAGTGTGTAGGGAATCCTCTTCATCTGTGCACAGACCCTGGAATTCCTGACTTTTGGTATATGCACCCCATCCCTGAAGCAAGGCCTTCGTTAAGAGATGGAACTCTGGATGAGATGGCAGTAGATGAACCTATATCGTAGTAGTGTCCCTACTTAACAACTCCTCAAGATCAAAGAATGATCCCAACTAAGGAAACTGGGGAACCAGTGAATCGATGTTGATGATCTCCTGGTTGCATAAAGACCAATAAAATAATCACTTGTGTTCTCATCCCAAAGGCACAAGGATTTGAGTGATGCCCATATTACTAAAAGTGAAAGAACCATCTGTGCAGTGGAAGAAACAGAGGTGAGTAAGAGTCATCCTATTCTATAGCATTGATCTGGATGGGAGTCAGCTGAGCCCATCTGAAAGACGAGATGAAAAAAAATACCCAGACTGATGACATATTGAGTTGGAACAAGAATAGATGTCTCAGTCCTGAAAGGGAAACCTGCCTTAGTTGATTATGATGTTCTGACAATTGACGAGGTGGTGCCAGTAATAACCAGTCATCTATGAATGGTGTGTGCACAGTATGATGGAATGAAGGTGATGAGAAAAACAAAACTTGTATGATATGGCAGAACCCACGTGAGAGCTATACGAGTCTGATAGAAAAAAAACAGAACTGCAGTACCCGATCCTTATGCACAACAAATGCCAATAGTGGTGGGATACCACCTCTTTGTCAAAATGCTCATAGGAGCCAACTACAACCAATTTGGACATCTACAATCCCAGTAAAAAATCAACACAGATTGAGGATTGAGTAATTTATAAACCTTGAAGAATCTAGACACTGATATAGACGAGGAAGATCAATGACTGGATACCAATCTCCTCTCTGCATAGGCCCAACAACTGACAGGAATAAAAACTCTGAAGAACTAACACGACTTTCTCACTACCCCCAGACCAACCAAACACAGATCACCCTAGAACTAAGTTTTAAATCCCGATGAACTGCAGGAGATGGAAACCCTACAGGTTGGGTGGATAATAGTGGTGCAGATGTGAACTGAATAACTAATTGTGACACAAGGACCTGCAATACTACTGGAACCAGAAATACTTGGAACCAAGCTCTCACAGCCCCTAAAGGTATACAATAAGCAGTGACACTGCTGGCGATCCGACCGAGTAGTGGAAACCTTGGATATAGACAGGATCTGTTCTAGGTAACAATGTACCAAGGAACTGATGTTGGAAATCGGGACCCATGAATAGGGGCGGAACTATGACCCCCTGTAGGAGCTGATGTAATTAGTGACCCAACGTGCATGCTAAGAATGGAGTCAGCTCATCATCAATAAAGTTGGTAATCCTGATAGCCTTCTAACAAAAGAAAACAAAATGCTGATGAATTTTAGAGTAGTAAGTCTGTAGACTTACTCTGTACCATCAGGAGACATAGACCTATATACATGAACTACAAACTCTGCCTACGAATCCCAAAATTTGAGGAGCAGATGTACTATTTTAGAGTCGAAAAATGCTTCTTCCTGGAGGTGGAAGGCTAAATCACGAAGTTAAGACATTGTGTCGGGTAAGTCCTAGCTGTCCCTTCACGTTACTGAGAAGTAAACCTTCCAGCATGAACCACAAAATTTGTGTATGAAGAAAAAAAACAAAACAAAAATTCACTCCCAGACCTTTCAGCCATCAAGTAATATGCAGGCTCAAAAGCAACTAGGAAATGCCCAAAACTTCACACACTCAAAGATTCAACAGAAGAAAATCAAATCAAAAACAGCTTATCCCAAAGTGGCCTCCTCTTTGTTTTTCATACGTCATTTAAAAACTATGTTGATTACTGTTGATTGGAACAGCATTTTGTGAGGTAAAGTTGTTTTGTTAGAGCAAAGCAACTTTGGGCCGTCTGCCATGTCCACCCTAAGGAATTGAACCCCAGACCCCAGAACTGCAAGTCCATAAACTTACCACTGTCCCACAGGGGGACTGAAAATCAAACAGACTAAAAGAAAGCACAGGAAAAAGTGAATTGCCCTCAAATGCAGCCTCAGAACCGCCCGAGGGACCACCAAAGATCCAAATACACAATTCTATCTCATTACAAATAACATCACTGACAGTCTCACCCAAAAGCGGCCCCACCTCCCCGATTTGCCTCCATGCCAGACATTAATCTGGGAATTCATACTGTAAATCGGCTTGCAAATCTGAAGAATTTTTACAAAAATCAAATAGATAACACAATATCGTTCAATGTATCTCCAAAGGAGTGTAATATTGGGATGCTTTGTCGAGAAAAAGTGATAACACTATCTGAATGAGGTGCTTACATACAATACCAGGATAGAGGACACATTGATGTAGGTGGAGAGTATCACAAGATAAATATCACCAAAGGCAATTAAGACTGGAGCAAGTGAGAAAAAATCAGACCAATGCTTAGATGGGCAAAGGAAGAAACCCTGAAGGTCGAGTAATAGCTGTATGTTTTAGAATTTCAGTGTTGCTTTGCAATTATCGATGACTGGATAAATAACTGGATACTGGAATGGTCATAGGTATATGGTGAGTGAAGTGGAAATGATTGATGCTAGGGATGGTAACACTTGGGTTGCATCTATCATTCCATGACCAAGAGCAAATACATAGCTACTGACAGACCCTGATAGGCTGGCAGCTTAAACTTAATGCAGCAAAAGTAACTCAGTGACATGTTGGGTGAATATGTTGATGCATTTGTAGGACTAAATGGCTGACTGGGCTAAATGATATCAACTCGGCACTATATAGACACAGACAATGCACATTCAATAATGCAACTGCTGTGCCGACTTCCTTAGAGCACTAAAGAGGTCACAAGTGCCAGTGCTAAATACAAAAGAAGATTCAGGAGGGCATCATACAACTTCTCGAGTGCTTGGACATTTTCTGTGGGGATTATCAAAAAGAAAAGTACACCAAGATGGGTAAACATAGTGACTCTCATTTATGCTTCCCAGTACCGTAAGCAGATAAATATCTGGATGCATTAGAAGGCTCTTAATGGCTCAACTCCTTGAATCTAGCATCCAAATACTGGCAAGTCAAAATGGATAATGAAAGTAGATTAAAAACCACTTTTAGCATGAGAAGTGGCTTGTATGAATTGTGTATCATTCCATTTCATCTCTGTAATGTCTCAGCTACCTTCATGAGGCTGATAAAGCTTACATTCAAAAAACTGTAGTAGAAGAAATGTCTAATTATGTTGACAACGTTTTAGTGTTTGGCTGCACTTCATATGCAAACCTGAGGATGATATTTCAGTGCTTGAGAAAGGCATGTCTGAAACTGGAGCCCAGGAAGTGTTTGCTCATGCAAACAGAAGTGAAGCTCCTCAGCCATGTGGTCAAGAAGAAAGCAGTATTAACAGACCTGGTTAAAATAGTACAATGTGAGACTGACATTGATCAATGATGAAAGAAGAGGTCCAAAGTTTTCTTGGTTTCATGACATACTATCAATAGTTTGTGGTCAATTTCTCAAAGATACCAGCACAAATGTCCACTTTCACAAAAGTGGAAGAACTTTGACAAAGTGAGTATTGTTCCAATTCCTAAAATCTGCTTTAGTGGATGCTCCAATGTTGGCCTATCACTGTCAGGACTGAGTTTATCCTGGATACTGACACCAAGAACATGGGAGTCAGAGAAGTACTATTAGATTTGCAGAACAGAGTGGAATGTGTGACAACATATGCTAGTCGAATGTTCATGTCCCCCAAATGCAGATATTGCACAACAAAGAAAAATTTGCTTGTTGTGGTTGTCTCCATGAAGTATTTCACCCATTATTTGTAGGTTATGTATGGTAGAAGATTCACTGTATAGGTGGAACATGCTTTGCTGATGTGGTTAATAAACTTTAAAAATTTTGTGGGGATGACAGATTGTTGGATAACAATGTTGAAAGAATATGACTGTCATGATTCATTGCCTGGACCAACAACAAGAAATAGCAGAAGGATTATCTTACCACATGGCAATACCCTGCCAATTTGTGTAATGTCCTGTTCGTGGATACTGTGTAAAAATTAAAACCACCACTGTATCAGCAATAGCTGCAACAAACCGTAAAGCAGACTATATTAAAGGATGTATAACAAAGCTAATGCTTCAAGAGCTCTGAGATGAGCAAATGAAGGACCTTGAATTAGTATGGGCACTCCTTACAGTCCAGCAAGGACAAGCCTGTCCAGCACTAGTGAAAAAGTGAAGCTTGGACACACATAATCTATAGCACCTGTACAGACAATTATGAGTGCAAGATGTGCTATAACTGTCATTACCAGCTTGAGATGCAGGGTGCTGCAGCAATGTTTCAACTAGCAGTTCCAAGAACTCTGTAGTAAGAGACACTCTACATTTTACACAACACTACAACTGGAGGGCAAACTTGTGCTAACATCTGATGACAGTTTTCCTGGCCTCCAGTTGGTCAGAATGTTCAGAACTGTTGTGAATGCTGTACAGTGTATGCCATCCAAAGAAATAACCAACAGATAGGACAAACTCCAACAGAGAATTCTTGGTTCTCTTCTACAGGGGATAGCTTTGGACATTGGTGATTCATTCCCAGAGACTTGATTACTTTACAAAGTGAGCCGAAGTGTAGCCCTTACCCAACACACTAGCACAGACTGTAGCAGAAATATTAGCTGATAATATATTACACAATTCGAAACACTGTAAAAGATCCCCATGGACCATGAGACTAATTTCAATAGCCAACTGTTCATTGAGTTTTTTAAGGTGTTAGATGTGGTGAAAACTTTACCTTCTCATCTCCAGTCTGATAGTTTGGTTGTTACTGATTACTTTATAAAGTTGACTGAAGTGTATCCCTTACCCTTTTCATTCCAAGTATAACAGCTGTGCTAGTAAGACATGTTTTTCACCAGTCACGATGTTTTCCAAGCCCGAAAGATCTATGCCAATAACCTTGCCAGTTTCTTCAGTAAGCCTTGACAGATTACACATGACTTATCACAATGCCAAATCATCAGTTTTATCAATTAATTCAAACCCAGAGTATCAATTGACCCCACCATGACCCGGATCCTTCAATGGGGTGGAGTTTTTCTCCATCTTTCAAACCATGCTGACCTTACCTACCTTTGCAGCCCATGGAACTCCTTTCCATGTGTCACTTTTACAACTCTCAAGAGTAGCACTGATCTTTTTTCCAGAGGCATCAACTCATCAATCACACCCGATAAGATTCAGCAGTCCATAGAAGCAGCTACCAACATGAAACACCACGCAGTCCACTGGATCTGCTCCAGGACATCCAGCATGACAACATACTTCATAAAAATTGTCACTTCATCTAAATAAACCACTAATTACATTCTCATTAATGGATGTTTCTTTCACCTTTTCCACTTTTGAGCTGAGAAACCTTACCAAAAAACACACATCAACAAGTCCCACCACTTTCAGTACCTACTTCTGAACACCAGCACTCTGAACCAATCACTCGAGTGTCTCCACATATCACACTGTCTTCCATCAATCAGTCTACTCAAACTCAAGCCAGCAGAAAAACCGCAACATCAGATCAAGCTATCCAAATGAATATTCCAGAATCACAAGACTCAGCTACCATGACAGATGTCACTACATCACTCAATACAGGCCAAACCCCAAGCTAAGACAAAAGCCAAGAAACAGACAGTGTCATACGTTATCCAGAAATCTAAACCTTCAGCCTAAACTATTCTCCACCTACACACATTTCCAATGTATTTGTACAACCAATCCACAATGACGACTATGACCAAGACTTTCTCAGCTAGCTAGTCTTCTCTTTAAACATTAACCAGTTGTTTTAACCCATGTTTTCTAACCTTTGACTTGTTTTTTCCTTGCAGGTCTTCTTGTGCACAGCCCAGGCATATTAATTCTGATCTAAAAGCACTACACCCATTTGGTTGTTCAGAATTTTAATCAAAATTTCCCATTTCTTTTATCCAAATTCTATGACTTTTATTTTTATTTCTAGATTGCAGGTTAGTCTGGAACTGTTTACCTGTGTTAGAGTCTTGGTCCATTCAGCCAGCAGCACATAATCTCTCCTTCCTTCTTCTGGCTTCTGGATTTCTGCATACACAGCTTTCCTCGACATCTTGAGTTGCCTTTATCCATGCTAATTCTCACACACAGCCACCATATTACTAAATCACCCAACCATGTTAAATTAACATAGATCTTTGTCATGAGACCATATCAAGTGTTTAAAAACTTCGGCCTTTAGCCCAAAATTTTCAATCTTCATTGTATAGCTTAACTAATTTTAGTGAGTAGGATGAAGAGAAACAAGAAGTTTCTGAGAGCTCTCAGTTATCTTCCAAGGTTTCTAGTAAACTCTGAAAGATATAAAACGAAATACCTGCTAAGATATTTGATTTTGATTTGATCTCTTACCTGACACACTAGTGCAGACTGTGGCAGACACATTAGTTGAGAATGGACCATATGGTTTGGAGACCTGGAAGAAATCCACAAAGCCTAATTTCAACAGCCAATTGTTTACTGAGTTGTATAAGGTAATAGGTGTGGTGAAGACTTGTACTTCACCTTCTTACTCTTAGTCTGAGTCTCTAGCAAAATGAGAAGTATAAACTGTCAAAAGTGGATGCTTGCAAAGTTTGTTGGGCCCAATGGAAATGACAGGGATGAATATTTGCCACATGTAATAATGGTGCACAGAACAGGGATCAGTGGGTTGTTCATGTTTGTACAGGAGATGTCACTTTCCGTGGAAATGATGTATGGCCCTACCACAAGGAACAATTCCCCAATGCCCTTATGAGCATGTAGAGTGGCAGAGATTGACAATGGTCAACAGGGGAGTTCACCTGAAAACAACTTGAAAATCCAATGCAACACCAGAAGAAGTGTTATGATCAGAGAGTGAAGGAACAGATGTTCTAATGCGGTGACTGGGTATGGTTGTGGTACATATTAGCAGTACAGAAGCAACTGGGATCTGGATGAACTGCTCCATACCTGGTACTCTGTTGAGTTGGTTTACAGCTGTAAGAGATATATCAAATGTTTGGTGTGCAAAAGCATGTCAAGCATGCTGATAAGCTGCATCCATATGCACAATACTAAAATAAAGTGAACATACCACACAATACTAACTACATAAAACAATAATGCTAACACATAGTGAACAAAATACTAAAATACACTGAACATGATAGACAGTAATGGCTGTTTAAAACAACATTAACATAAAGTAAACAGAATGAAGTGTTATGTACTGCAAAGAACTATTCTAACACATAAAAACAGGATAGATAATACTAAACAGTTCAAACAATAATGTCAGAAAAAGCTAAATGAAAAAACACAAAATGAAGTATCGAAGACAATAATACTATCATACAGTAATCACTATTAGGAGTACCATATATCTTAAATAATATTGCTAATATTAAATTAGACAAACTATTTATGGTGTGTTTTCATGGTGAGAGTAGGTTAATTATGGCCTTGAATAGTCTTGAATGTACTGAATCCTCTGGATGAGAAATGGTGGTGTAAGAAAGATGTAAACAAGAATACTTACGTGACACAGTGAAAATGACTTAAGAAATTCTGAATAACAGTCCTGATGTACAATTATAAAAGTACTGTATCAAATATTTAAAACAACATAGATAATATACAGTGAAAAGAGTGGACAGTAATAACCATTCAAATAGTGCTAACACACAACAAACAGGATACACTATAACAGTCGAAATTCTTACAATCAATAAACAAGATAAATAAAACAAAATAATCCAAATAACAATTTAACACATAGCAAATATGTGAGGATGTACAAAATATTATAAACAAAATTAACACAAAAGTTGAATAGAACAAAGTAACAATTATTCCAAAGATATATACAGATCAATAAACAACACAAATAATACCAACTAGCTCAAACAATACTGGTAACACACAGTAATGAAATGGAGGGTAACATCAAGTTAACCAAACAACATTACACACAGTAAACAGGTAGGAGCACATCAAGAGCTCCAAACAATAATCAAGACAGAGCGTGCCAAAGAATGCTATCATACAGTACTCAGAACAGAGCATAAAATATTCTAACAACAATTAGCAGGATTGAGCATAACAAACTCCAATATATCTTGCAACATCTATATGTACTAAAGCAACAGAAAAATGTAGTTGTCATCATGATATCATCACTTAAGGTTAATTCTTAAAAAGTTACTAATTTTTTTATTATTATTATTACTAGATACTAATCTAGCAATAATAATAATAACAACAAAAATAGTGAATAGATAATAACTAAACTTAGATGATCATAAAAGTTACTAATAACCATGACAAAAATTAATATCTGATCACCGCAACCTATTCACACATATTAACAGCAAAGTAACAATGAGAAAAAACTAAAATATTATGCAAACAACCATTACTGGCCAACAAATTTTGATACTACATGTGTCCTATGTCAGACATGAAAAAGACCACATGTATTTCTAAAAACTTTAAAAATGCTTGAGATCTGTAAACTTAAAACTTCAGAAAAATGAAATTTAGAAACTGGCACAGAAATGGTCTTGCTGAAAGAACTCACAAATGACTTATTATCTGCCCTAATTATAAAATGTTCTAAACTTTGTTACACAAGTATTCATAACTTGTTTGGTTAAATATTAGTCAACATTTTGGCATTATACAACCATTATCCTGTAAAGTAATTGGTGTATCATATGGCTTGAATTTGATTAAAATTTTGATTTCTTAACCTGTTTTGATTAGAACAAACTTGAGTATGAAAATAACATCTTGAAAGACTTAAATCAATTTCATGGAATTTCTCAACAAATATACTTAAACTGAGAAAAAACAAAAAACAAGTGATAGGTGCTTAAGAATCTAAGAATTGTACTAAATTGTTTTTTAGTTTTCAATAAGTAATTAATAACCCCCGTCCTCAATATACAAAAAAAATTAGCTTTTTCGATAAAACATGTTTTTATCACAGTGGAACCCACCATGTTTAGATTTGTCATGGCAAGCAATATGCACCAGTTCAAGGTTATTAGAAGTAAACAGTAATGAGTAGAAGTAGTCTGAATTTATGACTGACTTCACAGGAAGTTCTCTAGCAGCATTCATTATTGCTGGAATGATAGTGCGGGATCTTTCAATCCTAAAAGAAATTATCAAGAAATTAACTTAATGACTTAATTCTAACTATTGAAATATCACAGCAGCATTATAATAACAGAGGTTGTTTGTTTAAAAGGAGCTGAATGATACATCAGACCATTTACAACAGTTTTAATACATAAACCATTCAAAAAGTGCATTATTAGAAAGCTAAAAATACTGTACCAAATGAAAAACAATAACATTTTGTAAATATTAAGAAATATTCAACATATTTTTATTCATCAGGGCATTTACTCTGTTTTAAACATTCTTTGAGCAACATCATTTACCTGTGATCAAGATTCCAAGTGCTGAAAACTTTACGATGCTCACTACTAAGATATGGATTAAGTGTATGAGCTTTATCACACTTAGGGGCATTGTACTGTCCTTGACAAGCAAATGTGCCCTCTTTGGTACACAAAGCTTTTAATTCCCCACGAACAAACAGATGACCATTGTAATTATCTCTTTTCAGTAAGTTTTTTAAATCAATGAGCAGATCAGTCAGCAACATCTCTGGGAAGTTCATTCTTTGTAATTCTATTTTTGTCTGAAGGAAAGAAAATTAATATTTAACTCAAAAAAAAAAAAGAAAGATAAGACTTAATTAGTATGTTCCACTACTTTATTCTTTCTAGCTAAGATGTAAAAAATAGAAAATTAGAAGACTGAAGATAATTTATAAATACTAATACCAGCATTAATTTAACATATTGGGAATATCACAAGTATATTTTGATGTTATCATTCCACCAATGTAATTAGTAAAATCAGCCCAAATGAAGACATTCTTGCTCATAAGTGATACATATATGATGAAAGATATAACACAGCATTCATTTCTCTTATTGAAAGTTTTTCAATATAAAAATGAGTTAAGTTTCTGTCCAAAAATAATGTCAACTCATAATACTCTAATGCAATAAATTGTATAGATACTATACAGTTTATTTTTTAAAAAATCTGCTCACCAACTTATTGCAAAGTGCCCAAAGTAACTCTCACAACTCATTATTTACTGAATCAACCATATGATTACTGAAAAAAATTGTTAAAAGCCTGTATACATGAAAAGGTACTAGATAAATCAACTTTGGCTACAATAGTTTAAGTTTTACACTAACGACAATAATTATTTTGAACATGTTCTAATTATTTTTGCACACTATTTACAATAAACATTTTTAATTGCAAAACAGTATTATATAACTTAACCTTAACCATAAAGATAAACCTAATTGAATCATACAAAAAAGTATATGGAAACAAAGTATATGTCTAAATTACATTCTTAAAGATTCTTTCACACCTATCCTAGGACAATAATAAATTTATTTATATAATCACACTTTAAAAAAGATAAACAGATCCTTTATCTCACATTTAAGTGTTACATGATCAGCAGATTAAACTCAATTATACCAGTATTTGAAAGAAAACTTGAAGTTTAAATAAAACTTATCACATTAGAATCAAAAAGCTTTATTCATGTATGGTAAAGGAATTAGAAGAAAAATGTGTGTATTTGTTGGGAAATAAAGTTGGAAGTAGATCATACTCAGAAGTGTTCTAATGTTTAGGCCAATTTTAATGTATGAGCAATGTATTGTTGCGTCATCGAGGTCACGTGACTGGTGTGGCGCCCTCTATTTTCTAGAACTATCTTGTTTTTTCATGAATGCTCTAGTATTTACTAGATAGGGTAGGCGGGTATATATAAGAGGGGACAACGTGACGCAAGAATAAAGTAATGTGTGCGTAGATAGTGAGTAACTGATCTGCAGTCAGAAGTATTATTGAGCACGTTCGTCGTTATAGCGTTTGTTTAGCGTGATTGTTGAAGTTGAGTGTATCGGTAAAGTTGTATTCGGAAAGAATAAACCAGTTTTTATTAAGAAAGAACTTGTGTCGCTTAAGTTTCGTCAGAACGAAGTTACGGAAAAATCAATTAACAAACGGAGACGTATCAGTGTGATATTCAAAGGTTCTCCTAGTGTGCAGTTGATCACAAACTGTGCACCTGTAAAAATATTTGTGCA